ACTCGAACCAAAAATGTATCGGGGATAATTTTTACCTCTACTGTCGAGCTTTTTCCTTAGACGTTGTTGAAATTCCTCGGAGTCCTCCTTGCTATTGTCCCCCTTGTCTTGCGAATTTTCCATTATCCTTTGCGAATTCTCCGCATCGGCCAGCGACGCGAGACTTTTCGTTACTGCTGGCTTAAACGGCTTCAAGGCTTTCACAATAAAGTAAGTGACAAGGCCGGCCTTTTGGAATGCCTCCTCCCGATCTTCCCCGTGCGCCGGCTCGACCTCGAATTCTCCATTCAGGAAGCTCAACGTCGCGTTCGAAATGTGCACCCTCCTTCAAGCATTTATTTATTTATGCTTTCGTGTAAGCGCGACCTCGATGCAACGGATAAAAAAAATATAGAAGCTAATATAACATATCTCGTTAAGTTGCGAGTTTCTATTGAAATAAAACGTACTCTCTTGACGTTAACTGAGAAATGAGATTTTTCAATTGTCTCCGGAAATTTAACGGTTCTTACCCAGCCCTTCCGCTGCTCTCCATTTTATTCGCCAGCTCGACGTCCTTGCTGTAAACGTCAAACTGCCACTGCCTTTGGCCGAGGACCCCGGCAAGCACCGCGCCCGTATGAATACCCACCCTCATGTCGACGGGGCTGTTCGTCGTCTGTTGAACATATTTGATCGCCTCCACCATGGACAGACCCATGTATACACAGAGGACCGCGTGGTCTGGCCTTTCGACGGGCGCACCACTTATACAGTAGTAACAATCCCCCAGGATCTTGATACGCATTTGCTCGTATCTGCGAATGAGATTTCGTACAGATCGCTGTACAAGGATTGCTTATCGCATCGCAAGAATATTTCCATTAATTTGTGCAGAGGGGAAGTATTCTTCAGCTCAGAAAATGCGCTCGATATGAAACAGCAAAAACGCGATAGCATAAATTGCAAAGTGCATTTGACGGCGACGGAAAACGTCCCCGGGGATATCGATTGCCGGTGTCCTCGAAGGACCTCCCCCTGCGACAGGATTTACGTAGTCGGCTTAGTCGAGGAAAGAATCAGCAGGA